ACTGTGATGAATTATGCAATGCAAGATAAATTACATACCCTTGCCATGACAATAGCCATCTCCATGTTAAGGGACTGCTTCACAAACAACTCATAATTACACGGTTTATAGAAGAAGCTTGACAGCCATGTCTCGTTCCAAATCCGACTGAGCACCGCACATATAAATTTAGACAAAACAAAAAGTATGAATAACCTATCAGATCAATAGTAGTAAGAAAAATGAAAGAACAAAAAAACTGTCTTGGTCCATTACAAATATTCAACAAATGAAGAATCTCAATTAGTATTTTTCCATGTTAAAGGTCTGCCTACACCTGGGATTGAATTGCACTTCAACAAGGAAGAAGGGAATATTGATCATCTGTTCCTCAATTGCCCAAATGCAGTTTCGTTGTAGAATAAGTTCTTTGCTTGGCAAGGTTGAATTGGGTGATTCCGGGTTCTTGTGTTCAGTTATTTGTTGAGAAAAATTGTGCCTCTGGTAAAGGATAAAAGGCAAAATTCTTGTGGAAGTCCTATATGTTGCCTATTTTTTGGGTGGTTTGGTTAAAATGAAATGCCAGAATTTTGAATAAAAACTGGTTGTGGAAAAGAATGTTTCTGGCCATTGTTGGCTTCAATCTCTACTGCATTTACAGATATTCTGTTTCATTCTTCAATGGGACAGGGAGCGGCAGTTTGTTGAATTTATATTCTATTTTGGTGATTCGTTGTGTAATTGAGTGTATCCAAAGGACAGGACAGCTTCTATTTTTGTCTTGTTTTGCAGGTGGCCTTCTTGCCCCCTGCTGGACAGCGTTATTTTATGCTCATGACTTTATTTAACAATGTCTCTATCTCTTTTTATTTTCTCCTTTAACAACATTCATCTCCTTCAACTTAACACTCTCGAACTTAAATGTATTTTGCATTTAAAATCTACAACATTCAAAGGTTCTCCAATCATAACTCTTTTAGTTTTTCATCAGAAAATTGGGGAAAGGATCCATTCAATACATTTGGCACACTAACGTCGAAAGTAAACTTCTTTATCTCACACTTACCAATTTAAGAGGCGAATTGGAGAAAATAAAATAACCTATTTAAAATGAAAGGGTACCAACCTTTTAGCCTGCTGCTCCTCCAATTCCCTTGTCCTGTATATAACCTTCACTCCCTGTAATACGAATTTTGTGTCCCATAAGAACTTGGATAGCCAGAACTAGAAGGGCATTAAACTTGTATATACATTATTTGATTTTGAAAAATTGTTCACTAGAAAAAATTTTAAGTGAAGCATGCAACTTGAACTCACCGGAATGCTTTCAAAGACTTTAGATACATTAGGAGATGCAGCCTTGCCTTCCACAAAAAGGAAAAAGGTTGAAACTCCAATAACCTTATGATAAAAGATCCATGGCAACGTTTGCTCCAAACCAGCGGAAGTGCTTGTTTGAATGCATATCTGACATGTAAAAGATTACAGACGGTTCATAAGATGTTCATAAGATGTCACATGCATTATTAATCAGAATGACTTTAAAAATGCTAAAGAAACCAAAAGAGTAATCTACAAGAGAACAAATATCTGATGATGCCCAATGAATGATCCCCAGTTCATATCACAATCAGCACTAATCAAGCTCAACAAGAGACCTATATAAGCACAACCCAGATGCCAGATCCCAAGATCCAAACATAATCAACCCCCAAAGACAAGAAGAAACTCAAATCAAATCCCAAAAATCATCAATCCAATTCTATCAACCACAAATCACAGCCACAAAAACTCAACAAACTTTTGAAAAAGCAATCAAATTGGACACAATAGAAAGCACACTGACCTTGGGCCTCAGATCGGACATGTAATCGAACTTCCAGTCCTTATAGTAGGGGAAGGAGGGCGAGTGGCTCCGACCCAGAAGATCGACGCAGTCGGAACCCGAAGAATGTGAAACCTGGACTGGGGGCCCACCCAAGTCGACCATGCCAGGGAACTCGTGATGGTCAGGTGCCCATCGAGTAATGGGGTCATTGAGACCGCCACGCCATTGGAGAACGAAGGCGAAGCCGGCGAGAGTTAGAGGGAGGACGGTGAGGAGCAAGAGAAGGCGGGAAGCGAAGGTCTGAAAGGAAGAAGATGAGGCAGACGACAACGATGATGACGAGGAAGAAGAAGAAGAAGCCGAGGTGGGTCTGGAAGAAGAGTAGAGACCCGCCATGAGAGGTTGATGACAGACAAAGAGAATGAAGACAGTAGTCGTTGCATATATATGTAGAGAGAGAGAGAGAGAGAGAGAGAGAGAGTTTTGAATTGTAACCGAAGGAAATGGGAGTTGGAAACCTGAAGGAGAGAGAGACTGCGAGAGACGTTTTGTCGTTGGTGGTGTTATTGCCGGCCTCAGATTTTTCCCCCTTTTTTTTTGCCTTTTACATGAAGAAAGTTTCCTTTTTTATTTTATTTTATTTTAATCAGTATGATTCGTGAATTTCGAACCTTACATGAAGAAAGTTTCCTTTTTTATTTTTATTTTTAATCGGTTTGATTCATGAATTTCGAAAGGATACTGCTTGTCTCTTTATTTATAAATATTGCTTGCCTCCTTACTTGTAAGGAAATACTTCTCCTTTTAGTGAATCATAGTTTGACATATATACAAAAATAATTCATTAAAAACACAAAAAGAAATTTTTTTGCACACATGTCACACTTTTGTTGATAGGAATGTAAAAGTTCCTACTTACATGATAAGGACAAAAGTATTTTCCATTTCAAAATTGCAAGACTCATCTAAGAAACTATTATTTGACAATGGATATCTGTATAAATAAATAATAAAATATCGAAAATATCAATGACGATTTGAACAATATATGTAAAATGATGGATTAGTGAAGCTTATTCTACTGATGTTAAGCAATTTTTAAAGGATTCGGACTACAAAGGTTAGAAAGAATTTATTCTTAGTATGCTAATTGTTTAAATGTCTTGTACATGCATAATTTATCTTTACAAATTAAATTGCTATTTTTGTTTGTCGTATTGTTAAGTTATAAGATCACATCAAAACCTAGCAAGGTTATAATGTTACATTAGTGATAATAATGGACTATCGACTAACTCACCTCATCATATATCTCAATCAAATAGTTGAATCTAAAGAGTTTGATGTTCCCACAAAAATGTATTCAAATATGTGAATACTCTATTAATCAACTTGATAAAGCTCAACGTTAGCCTTACCAATTAAAACTTTCAAAGTATCTAATTCTAATGTGTGTGAATACCTTATTAATTCAGTCCAAAAAACAAAAAAATAAACATACCTTATTAAGAATGCTGCCATTTTTACCCCTGTTACATTTATCCACTCACCTTATCTTCTTACCCACTATGTAAATTTGAAAAAACACAATCCTATTTTTCCACCCACCATTATTCCTAAAATACTTTTTAATTATTAATTCAAACAAATTCTTATCTTCAGAGCACCTCCACCCCAAAAGGCAAGGGCAAGGCAAAAGCAAGGCAAGGTTTGCCACTATTCATGTGAATAGTGGCAGCCAAGGTTTGATATATCGAGAGTTTCGGAAATATCGATGGTCCAAAAACATGGATATATCGATGGAAATATCGATGAAATATCGATATGGATAAAAATTGAATAAAAATCACGGAAATTGTGAGAAAAACTTGGAAACTTTTATTGAAACTTTAGAGGATATTTATTTAGTCAATTGTCTATTATTTTATCACAAAAAATTGGAATAAAATGCATGGCATGGTGGGTTTGAGTGATTTAAGTTGATTATGTAGCGACCTGACAAACACTGTCTTTATAAAATATATAGTAATTAGTGAAAGAAAATTAGACACACCATAATTTTTTAGTTATAATAATTTACTACAACATATTCCATATGATAAGATATATGAACTTGACAAAAAAACAAAAATAAAATATATGAGTAACTTAGTACCACATAGAAAGAATTCCTATTAAAGTTAAAACTTAGTATCACATATAGTGAACAATATTAAAACTCAATAGTGAATAATATTACAACTCCATAATATATAACCAAAAAAAAAAAAATACAACTCCATAATAAAATAATAAATAACATTAAACATATGCCTAAATTTATCATTAGGGATTCTTTTTTTTTTTTTATGGAAATTTACCCTAGATAATATTAGCTTGCAGAAATTTTAAAGACCATATAAATATTACACGTCGTAGCTTTTGTTAACAAACTCATTCGCAGCGTGTTGGATTAAGGCTGAGTAAGTGGATGGGAAAAAGAGGGGTTCGATTCCCCCCTTGTGTGCAAAAGCGCAATTTCTCAACCATTTTCATTTATTTTTCAGTTTCATATCGCGATATTATTGATAGCAATAATATTGCGATATATTGCCCAAATAAAGCATGAAGGAGGAGGAAATTATCGCCTCCGACATTATCGCAATAATATCGATATATTGACGATATTTAAGTGAATATGTGCTAAAATATCGCCCATAATATCAATATTTAGTTCCTTGGTGGCAGCCTTGCCTTTTTTGGTTCCACCCCAAAGGGCAAGGGCAAACACTATTCATTTTACTTTATTTCCTATTTTTTTATACTTAAACCATTAATTTTGATAAGCTTTTCAGATAATATTTTGGGATATTTATTCAAAAAATTATAATCTCATATTTAAGATAAGATTTTTACCTTCTAAAATTGCGCCCCGTGTCCCATGTCAGATAAGATTTTCATATATTTATTAAAAAATTATAATCTTAGATTTCAGATAAGATTTTCATCCTCTAAAATTGCGTCACGTGTCATCTCTATCTTCTAAATCCCTCTATAAAACTACACCCTCAACTCATACCTCTCACACCATATCTTCTGAACGAAGTATATTGCTGTTGGGGTTTTGGGTCTTCTTCCCAAGCAAAAACTTACAGCTGCTTTGTGGATGCTTGCTTATGGGGCATCTGCAGAGTAGGTGGATGAGATTGCGCGGATGGGAAAATCAACTATCCTAGAGTGCTTGGTGAGATTTTGTGATGCAGTAGAAAATATCTACAAGAAGGAGTACCTTCGCAAACCTACGGCGAGGGACCTCCGAAGGATTGTACAAAAAGTTGAGGCTCGAGGTTTTCCAGGAATGATTGGAAGCATCGATTGCATGCACTGGCAGTGGAAGAATTGCCCAACTGCTTGACAAGGAGACTATGGGAATCGAAAGGGCCAAAAAAGTATAATTCTGGAGGCCGTAGCTTCATTCAACACTTGGGTTTGGCATGCCTTCTTCAGAGTTGCTGGTTCTCAGAATGACCTCAATGTGCTTGGTCAATCCCCGGTGTTCAACGATGTATTGCGAGGTCATTCCCCCCAGATCACGTACCGAATCAACAATACCATATACTCGGGTGCGTACTATTTCGCTGACGGAATTTATCCTAGGTGGACGACATTCGTGAAAACAATTTTGAATCCCCAATCCAAGAGGGAAAAAAGCTTTGATGCCTTTCAAGAAGGTTATAGGAAAGACGTGGAAAGGTGTTTCGGTATCTTGCAAGCTCGTTGGGCAATTATTAGGGGTGCTGCTTGGATGCTTGATGAGGAGGTGCTGCGGAGCATTATGATGACTTACATCATCCTCCGTAACATGATTGTGGAGGATGAGTATGATTATGATGCTCTAGAGGTGTTCGAACCTGATCCCATGAACACGGCGTTGACAAGAATTTATGAAAGGCCCATGGGACCAAATGGAAAACCAATGGAGCACGAACCGTTAATTCATGATGGTCATTATCATGAAATGCAATCTTCATATGTTCACGAGAGATGTCAAGTTGACTTGATCGAGCACTTGTGGGAGATAAAAGGCAATCACAGTGGATGAAGTCAAGATTAATGCTTTGTTTGGAATTATGCTTTGTTTTTAATTATGCTTTTAATTATGCTTTGTTTTGTGTGTTGTTTGTAATAAATTAAGGGTTGTTTTTAATTAAACTTTGTTTTGATGTTCAAATGTTTTTAATAAATAGTCATATTATTTAATGCTATCTTTATTGAATAAAAGGGAAACAATACAACAAATTAATACATATGGCAAATCTTTCAATACAACCTAATGGTTTTGATCATTTAACCAATCCGTATTGCTAGGTCCGTCATCACGGAAAAGTTTTCTTATCATCACATCCCTTTGTTTTAGCTTCCAATAGGACTTTGTTTCAGGAGACATATGGCTCGTATCCATGGCCATGATTTTCATCTCTCTGTCCTCCATGTCTTGTTCTTGTGCATGCTGCCTTTGAATTGCAAATGCTTCATGTCGTGCCTTGTCTGCTTCTTCTCTTTTCAAGTCTCTCTCAATTCTCAGTGCGCCATTCTTAGCAATTTGCTCCAAAAATTGTGCACATTCATTGTTCGAAGTGCTCCCTCTCTTGGCCTTTGCCACCTTTCTCCCAATAGGTCTCGGCACACATGGGAGTGGTGAGTCTTGATCCATTAGGGAGTCCAACGGCGAATCGGTTGGCGGCGAATTGTGGAGCGGCATCTCATTCAACACAACCGGCAGACCAGTGTAAATAATTTTGAATCTCTTACAATTCTTCACAACTTCCCAACATTGGTGACTCAGGAAACTTTTTTTGCCTTGCCCCATGGCACCGAACCACATTTGTGCTTGTAGGATCTATTAAAAATAAATAATTGGAAATGCAAGAAAATAAATGATTATGCAAGAAAATATAAACTAATTGGAAATGCAAGAAAAAAAATGAATATGGAAGAAAATATAAACAATTTGGAAATGCAAGAAAATATAAACAAATTGGAAATGCAAGAAAAAAAAATGATTATGCAACAAAATATAAATAAATTGGAAATGCAAGAAAGAAAAAAAGTTACATTAAATTGAATAAAACGACAATTATAAATATTTTACCTCATCGGCAAGATTTTGACCACTTCGAATGTTGTCCCTCGCTTTTGTCAAGGCATCTCTCCATCTCCCTAACTCTTTGTTCAAAATTTTCCACCTACTAGCTGTTCGGTTCATTTTTACACATGATTTTTCATGTTATTCACCCACTATTTTGAGTTAGTTCTTGACATTTTATAGCTTTTTACTTCCTTTTTGTGTTTTCTTAGATTTTGCCTTGGTTGGGATGAAAATGAGCTAAAAGTGCATTATTAGTTATAAATTCTGTTTTTGTTCATTTTCGTAGGTCAACTTCGTGGCCTTGGATCAGCATGTTCCGGTCCTTGGATGAGGTGATGATCTTCATAGGACTTGTTCCAATGGATGTTAACTACAACATATCCAAATTTGAGCTCCATTGGGCAAGTGTAGCCTATTCAGCTGATCGGACAATTGACGCTGGCTCTGGATGTTTGTTTTGGCCTAGTTTTCACCCCCACTTAATAGCATTTTATTTCTACTTGTTACGACACCTTTTGGTAACAATGGATTGCATTTGAGTGTCATTTCCTGAGTCAATTGGAGCCTTGGATTATACCTTAAAACAAGGTTTCATCATTTGCAAGGGGACAATGGGCAATAGCTTTAGAGAAAGAATAAGTTTTATACTAAAAGAAAAGCTGGAAAGGAGGAGAGAGAGAAGTCAAAAGGGATTGCAATCAGATTTGGGGGAGTTTTTTGCAACGGGAGAGAGGGTATTCCACCATTCTACACAATTGAGAGCAGATTTTGGAGCTTGGAGCTAGGAGAAAGACAAGGTGCAGTCAAGAAAAGTGGAGAAGAAGACTTCCACCATTGATGATCTTGAAGCTTTCATCATTTTCTGAAAATCTGTAAACTCTTTCTAATTTCATTTTGAATTTGTGTTTGAAATGATTATGAGGAACTAAACTCCATAGCTAGGGCTTAGGTTGAAGCCCTATACATGATTACCTTATTGTTTTGATGCTTGAGTGTATGCATTTCTAGATGTTGTTGATGAACCCCATTCACTAATTGAATTTTATGATTTGTGTTTGCTTCCTTTGCTTAATCACCTTAGGTTGTATGCATGTAGCTAAAGTTGAGGAGTTGTGTAAGATAACCAAGAACACAATTTCTAATTAGCAACAAATGGTTGAACTTGTTTAAGTGAGCATCATGTGAATTGGTTTCTTGACAACAATTGATGAATTCGAATTCACCAAATTAATCTATCCTTGATGTGTGTTTTCCTTGATTGATTACCTTTGAAAGCATGCTTCTTGAGGTTGTTGGGATTATGTGTATCTTTATGTTTTCCTAAGCAATAGATGGATGGAGTAAGAACCATCCATGTGCCTTGGTTTCTTGAATACCTAATGTAAACACCATGCTATTATATGTTCATATTCTCTTTGAACTTAATGGGTTTTCCTTGCAATCGAATTGAAGTACGAACCATACCTAGGTTCGGTTATGAGGAGGGCACAAGTATTGTAGCACGAACCATGCACTTTACGTATATTAGAGAGAATCAATGCGTCTTGAGCCACGACCCATGGTCTTGATTGCGAACATCTTCATCAATACATTTAGAGTTCATCACTTGAGTATCCATGAACATGGGTAGAATTGTTTAGGGTGGATTCCGAAACCCTAGTGTTTGTTACATTTTAATTTCACATTTTGATAATTCATCTCTGCCATTCACATTTAAATTCAAAGTTCATTTACTTTCATGCAATAGAAATAGGTCACTTGAACCAAATCAAAAACCCCCCCCAATGTGTGTGTGAGTTGCGTGTTTGACACGTTTTGTGTCTTTGTCACTGAATTTTGTTTGTTTCCGTAATTGTTTTGGACTTTTGGTCCGAGTTGTGTTCTTGAATTTTCTGTGCTGATTCCAACCGTATAAAGAACGTGAATTTTGGATAAACGGTTGGAAAGTTATAGGTCAAAAACTGGACAGAGGTCGAAACTGAAAAACAGAGAAACGAATCTGTCCAAATGGTGATAAACGGGTGATAGAAAGTGCTGTTTGTGTTTTTCTTTGTTTTCTTGTGTTGTTTCATTTCTTTTATCTTCCTTACTTCATTTTTAGTTTCCAATTTGTATTGTGTTTGTGTGTTGTGTAAAATTAGTGTTCTTTACGTACTCAAATTAGAACTTATAGGAAACCGACAAGTTCTTCGTGGGATCGACCCCGTACTTACAAAATCTATACTTCATTAGATTCGTGCACTTGCGGGTATTTTTAATTGGTTGTTTGCACATTAATTTGTGTCCTTTTAGGAATGCAACACTAGCTAAGGTCAATTCCGTCTGAAGTGACCCGATCTTTCAGAAAATTCTTCATGAATTTTTCTTCACATATGACAAAACTTCATCTCATTGCCCGTGACCGCTCAATGACTAACTTTCACCCAATACTCACACAACACAATATCTTCCTGAGTTGTCCACGCGCCCCTAGCTTCTACAGAAGAGGCCATTTGTTTTTTGAGACAAATGGAAAGTAGAAGAAAAATATGAGTGGAGAGTAAAAAATATTGGAAGGAGGAGAGTTGTATGTTGATTTGGTGTGGAAAGTGAATAAAATGGTTATGTATTTATAGGGAACAAATCTAGAACTTTTTGGTATTTTTTTTAAAAAAAATTTGAATTTTTTTGCAATTCTTTTAGCCAAAAAAATCAAATCCGTCGGATTTCTAGACAAAAATCAATCGGAGGGTCCGAGAAGCGCCACATGGCGTCTTCCCGTTGGGAGCTGTCAGCGACTTCGGGCTAGAGCCCAGTCAAGAATTGCCCTTGGGCTTGCCCGGGCTAGTGGGCCCCAGGGCTTGCCCGGGCTTGAGGCTACGCTCTGCTGGGCTTTACCTTGGCTTGGGGGGGCTGTTGCCTGGGTTTGTGTAGAGCGGTGGAGGTGCTCTTATGAGGTTAGTATTAAATTAAATCAACCAAAGCTCCCCCACCCACCCAACCCCGTCAGCGGCAACCCCCCATGCTTGCCTGAAACACCTCACAGTCGCCATCTTTCTTTAGAGGCTATGGGTGTGGGTCCTGCCATGTTGTCCATCCGAGATCCGCAAGGTTTCATAGCGGGTTCCATTTGGAGTTTGAGTTTCTTTTCATCTTTGGCAATTTGGAATTTTCAATCTTTCAGGGTGTGCAAACTTGATACTACCGAAATCCTGTTTTGCATTAACATGCTTTAAGAAAACAAATCATCTTTCCAGCATAATATCAAATTTCCAACCATTAATAATTAAAGGGTATTTTAGGAATAATGGTGGGTGGGGTAATAGGACAGAGGGTTGGAAATAGCAACACTTTTTTGTTTTAAGGTATAGGTTAGCCGAGTATATATTAACTTATTAAAGTCCAAAAAAATCCAATTCTTTATGAATTTAGTTGCAAGCAAGCAATAAAAATACACATTAAAATAAGTACACTTTCAAGTCTGTTGTTGAACATGTGGAAAAATATATTTCACCAACCAATACGAAGACGACACTTGGAAAAGAAGGATATCACCTAGGTCATTAATTGGGCCCATTTATTTGGTCAATTAATTGAAACCAAAAATAGGGTTATTATCTTAAATACGGGATATTATCTTTATTTGGGAATATAATCACCAATGATAGATAATATCACCAATTTGGGATATTATCTTATTTTGGGGATATTATCATCAATTAGGGATTTAATCCCAATCGAAATCCATAATTGACTCAATCTCTCCATTTAATGGAAAGAATATCTTCCTTCCAAATAGGAATTGTTCTTTGAAAAACCCTAGATGGCTAGAGCCCTATAAATACATAGTCACATTCAATATAAGAGGTAATTCTAAACCTGGTTCTAAAAACCCTACAAAATCACCCTCTATCTCTCCTCTCTCTTTCTCTCTCTCTCTCTCTCTTCACACGGCTAAGTGCCACCACACACGG